TTAATTTATTCAAAAAGATAGAAATGGAGGGAGAACTTCCAAATTCTTTCTATGAAGCCAGCATCACTCCAATACCTAAACCCAGGTAAAGATACAACCGAAAAAGAAAACTACAGATCCATATCCTTAATGAACATAGGTGCAAAAACTCTCAACAAAATACTTGGAAACTGCATACAGACATACATCAGAAAGATCATCCACCATGATCAACTCACTTTTATTCCAGAGATCCAGGCATGGTTCAGTATATATAAGTCAATAAACATCTTAAATCATATAAATAGACTCAAAAACAAGAACTACATGGTCATCTCAATAGATACAAAGAATGCCTTTTACAAAATTCATCATGCATTTATTTTCAAAGTCCTAAAGGGAATTGGACTAGAGAGCTCATACCTCAACATAATTAAAGCCATATACAACAAACCCACAACCAACATCTTTCTAAATGGAGAAAAACTGGAAACATTCCCATTAAAATCAGGAACCAGACAAGGCTGTACACTGTCTCCACTCCTCTTTAACATAGTTCTTAGAACTCTTGAAAGAGCAATAAGACAAGAGAAGGAAATTAGGGGAGTAATAATTGGAAAAGAAGAGCTCAAATTATCCCTTTTTGCAGATGATATGATATATCTGAGCTGCCAAAAAATTCCACCAAAATACTCCTAGAAATGATTAGCACTTTCAATCAAATGGCAGGTTACAAGATTAATCTACAGAAGTCTGTAGCCTTTCTATATACCAGTAACAAAAAATCAGAGAATGAGTACATGGAAACACTCCCTTTCTATATACCAGTAACAAGAAATCAGAGAATGAGTACATGGAAACACTCCCTTTCACAATAGATGCAAAAAAATAAAATATCTCAGAATAAACCTGATCAAAGACATTAAAGACCTGTACAATGAAAATTTTAAATCTTTAAAGAAAGAGCTTAAGGAAGACATCAGAAGAGGGACGGACCTCCCATGCTCAAGGATTAGAAGAATTAATGTTTTGAAAATGATACCAAAAGCCGTTTATAGATTCAGTGAAATGCCAATCAAAATCCCCATGA